AACCAAGCCAACATACAGGATCTACCCCGAGTGGGCCTGATCCGTCAATCCCTATGCCTAATTGAGTCGCCCTATCAATCACAATTACTTTTGTTACTACCAGTATCTCTCGATAAAGTTTTAGATATATCTATATAGATCTCGATTTGGTCGTGGCGTTCAGTCGCTAGGTCTTTTAGACCCCTATCTTGGGCCAAGAACAGGATAAAAAGATTGACTTAAAAGGCCACGGCCCGGCGGCTAGTGTCATATATTTGGTCATGATCAGAGAACTATAAGAATTGTCGTAACGTACATCAGCTCTTCTGTATTCAAATCATATATTACCTCTCTTTATTGATAGACGAGGTGAATACCTTCGGAGTTTATGGAGCTGGAGTACTCAAAACTCCGTCATGCAAGAGCACTGTACTGCGAAGGAAGAGATTCGTGAATTCAGTAAATTGATATATTGTTACGATACCAAGAAAGTGCAGCTGCAGCGCTATGTTGTGGGCGCTTAAAGGCGTGCCGTTTTGAGACAGGTTTTATTCGTTTCCCGATTTGAAGGCATCGTAATCACCGGCATCAGCAGAGATCCGGAATTCTCTTCTGGAAAAAGGGGGGGGGGGGGGGGTGGCTACTTGAGCGAGAGTTCCCCCACCCCTAGCTATGGATCCTAGAGACATTGCCAGACTTATGAAAACGGGAATAGCAACAAGTGCGGTTGAGATTGGCGACTCCACTAGTATAGAAAGAGACGCAACGTGTACGTTCCCATGTATCAACGGCGTACATGTGAAACCGCTTTATTTAAGCTTTGGCGGCTCAACTGACATGACTTTAGTCGAACCTAACGCGTATCTTCTTGTTACTTGTCTAAATCCTTCTTGGCCATAGAAACATCACTTCACTCCGGATTCCATTTATGGAATTCTGCTTCAAAACTTTGGAATAGAACCTCATACAAATGATATTCTTCACGTACGTACCCCGGCCCTCTCAGCACTATCTAATAAATGTCATTATCTCACATTTCTTCCGAAGGGATCAAGAGAGTAATAGCACTCTGAACCGTGGGCTTAACTCTCAAAAGGTTTCAATCTTCGATAGCCTCACACCGAGGCAAATGCTGCCGAGAAAACCAATCACCACGGGTTCCAATCAACGTTAGAATGATATATAATACTATCTCAGAAAATACCATCTCTATACAGCAGAGACACGCGAGGTAGCATCTCTGTGACCTTCGGCTGAACAGAATCCCGTCAAAAAGGAGCAGGATTCACAAGTTATACGGTGCATACAGAACTAGGACTCAAAGGACTCTATAATCATGAAGATTGCAATTTCTAGTCGTATTCATTCGTTGGTGAAGTTTCTTTCTTCTTCGCGGTCATGATTGTTGTTTGGAGTAATTTGGAATAATTAGGTTAATATCCTAAACAGTTCTCTAGAGCTCTATAAACTATAATTAGTCCAATGCTGCCTTTGAGTAAATGGAACTAGCTTTATTCTCTGGTAGCCTGGTTAGCTGGTTGGTTTTGGCTTTATCATGTAGTCATAATCGGAGTCTGATTGAGCACGGTGCCGGGCTAGCAGTTTCTACGAACATTCGAGGCCTAGAGGGTGAAGAGGGCCGGTGCTAATAAGGCGGAGATACATACCTCAATTGAAAGCTAATAACCGTTTGTTTAAAATCGGAGTACTTCGATAATCTTTGGTTAATATCGAAGCATGTGCAGAAAAAATCCACAATCATCGACGCTGGACAAATTAGCGAATTAAGTCAAAGGTGAGCTAGGCCATATTATCTCGTGGTCAATTAATTCTGAAGTCTAGATATTAACTGTGAATCAGTTTGTAACTGTACATAACCACGTGCACATGTGTATATTAGTCGATCTCGATTTCAAATACTTCTAGGAAAGTCGCTCCTGATTGGCGGTTGGATCCATGGAACTAACTTGATATTCGTGATAGGAGTCCACATGGGAGCGGAAAACCTAACTACCCCTACTTTACCCAGTTCCAAATAGTTACCGAACTTATTATTTGGATATTAATATCCAGTAGCATGCACGCACAGAAAAAGCCGTCGTCCTATCGAAATCCCACCCCTACCAAACTTCCAGCGTTTAAGGAAAACAAACCTGTGTTCCGCTAAATAATACCTCTCTCTAAATTCCATCCATACAATACCCTCAGTAAAATACGGACGCCGCGGAAATGGAATTATGGTATATTCCTGCTGTGTAAGCGAACTCCATATCCGCAGACGCCGAACAATCGTATCTACCATGCAAGACTGTTTCACCTAACAGCCACATAAGTTTATCCGCGATATCCTGTTTCAGATACCCCTTACTTTCAGGCGGGGGAGCTGTTCACCTAATCCCCCATATTTCTGCTGCTGCAGAAGCCACGTGCGCCACACCATTCTACGTGGAAGAGCTATGGCCGAATAATAGATTGCAGGGATGGAATAATCTAGTGCATCATTAACAGGATCTACGACCAGAACCCCGGTACAAAGACAAAACCAAGAGAAAGTCGATCTCACCTAGCTTCACTTAGGTATGTAGACCTCTAGCTGTTGCTTGTCTAGGAGTAGTAAAGTCCAGACCCCCTTTCAGTAACACTTAGGTTCGATCATTCGTAATTCTTCTAGGACGGCAAATGCAAGGGCAAGAAGGGCGTTGCTGTATGAGATGAAATCGTCAGATATATGTAGAGTACTTACAGTGCCTACATTACTACTCCACCCTAGAGTAGGCGAACCAGTGATAGTAAGTTAACACATCTATCTCCAATTCACTCGCGGAGTTTATTTTGACCTACCACCAGAAACCAGGGAACTACAGAGTGACAGATGTACATTTCTCACTAGAGTACTCGCGAACAGAGCTAGAGCTATCAAGCCCCTGTATGTCAGAGACATGCATTTCTTCTCCAGAACTCAACCCACACTATCGGGCATAGTATCAAACCTTCCGCCGGCCTGCAGCGTCAGTTATCCGCATTCAATAAACTAGTTAAAAGCACCTAACAAGAACAGGACACCTACATTCAGTAAAAACTCGACAATAACGAACGGGACCAGGCTGGAATAGTGTACTACCACTGGTTGAGACCATGGAAATTAACTCTTTTGGCGGTTGTGATTGAGGCTTAACGCCAATTCGACAAATCAGAAAGCAGTGTTCGCCCTGCACTCAGTACCCTACTAGACTCACCAACTGCAGCTGAGTATATGTATTTACTCTACGTCATACCATGCATGCGAAGGCCGGGCCTGCACAACAAAAAGCATTCAAAACCCACATGCCAAGACTATCCTGCAACTCTCACTCCCTCCCGTGCACAACGCAACACAACTCCCGACAATCATGATGCATATGCACCGGGAGGATATACTATATCGATGATCCTGTCTACATACTCTATTTTACTCCTGAGTACTCTAGGTAGATTTTGATCCCCACATTGCTTTTAATCGGGATGATAGCTAGTAGAAAACGTGAAGATATCGATTAAAGTCCCACTCCTCCGGAATTGGGGCTGGTTCCTATGCAATTTACTACCCAAAAGGAGTTATATAGCTCACTAACCATTAGGAACCTGGAAGAAGGATGGCAATTACGCAAATTAGAGTGTTGTACCTAGTGTATTTGCCTGGGTATGCATAATATCATGTCAGATTCAAATCTACATGTAGGTAGTTTTGGGCCTTTGTCTCATCCATTTACAACATAACCAAGCTGTACGTCGTGGGCTTGCTGATGGTTATTTGCTAGGATCTCGTGTCTTATTAGGGTGGATCGGTAAAGGCATTGTGGATCCGCTATCCCAAAGTACTGGCCACCAGAACGCCCCTTCACCACTACTGGCGCGTAATTCCCTCCTCAAGAGCAACCGTCATGAGATCTCTGCTTCCAATCAAAGTGGTCCTTTTTGAAAGAAAAGAATACCGACTTTATTTCTTCGAAAATGGAAGAATGAGAGCGAGTGATGAGCTGTGGTACAGAGTCAGGGTTAGGGTTACCTAATATCTTTCTCAAATAAATCGGTGTGCTGACTTGTGTGCTCGGAAAATTCAGAGAGCTAGTTAAGGAATTCACGGGCTTACCAATTACTGGCTGGTAGCATTGGCACTAGAAAAAAAACTTCTTGGTAAAATTCAGGGGGTTGAAATAGCGATAAAGACGCACGAACGTCGGCAATGGATATCGAGTGTAGGACTAGGGCACACAAGGTAATGAAATGTCCCAACGAGAAGCTTCTATGACAGCCAGGGCAAGGACTAGGTAGGAAAGAAAAGCAGCAGATGGTATAAGCCGGGACAATACATACATTCTCACCCCGGTCTACATAAAGGAGGCTCTAGGGTTTAGCCCGACGCTCTGGGTTTCTCATCCCACCAGCCCACATATGTACATGCATAGAGTACCCTGTACTCTGCAGGCGCGATTGCAATTTGCAATGATTGTTCATGACTGCTACTTCGACCGCTAATCGTACTGCTAACAAAACCAGCGCTGCAGATTCTCATATTTCTCTTGGGACATTGAGAGCACGGACTAATAACCCTTTCTATTGGAGCCAGCGGTAAAGCGTGTTTGACATAGTGAAATCTAGAAGATCTGTCTAGATCCAATATCGTGATCATTGGCTGACTTGTCTCAGAACACGCATCGGTTCTCGATCTAGAGACCGTTTTTTCTGGCGGGACAGATCGGCCGGGCCAGTGAATTTCATTTTTTTGGATATCTGAATAAAAACAGCAAAATGAATTGCCCCCCCCCCCCTCCTTCCAGTCGATCACGCCCAGCGTAATCGGAACTCTTCACAGAAAGGCAATTTATCTTCTTCATATCTACATCTTGAGAAAAAAAAGGTCGAGAAAGAAAAAAAGGAGAGAATCTGGAGTAAACAAAATAAACAGATTATAATACGTACTAGCTACCGTGTGGTGCCATATTACCACTGCTACCACTACTATTACTGTTGCTACAATTCCAATGCCACTCAAATTCCCACTTCTACGGCTTCCTAACGAACTCATTCTCATAATAAGCCAACACCTAAACGCCAACGACCTGAATTCCCTTTTCAAAACGAACCATCGTCTAGCAGAAATACTGTCCCTTCAGCTCGAAAATCTCCGGGACAATCTCCTCAATCTAATAGCAAAACAGGATGGCAAAACCGGACTCTGCTCCGCAGTAGAGCGCAAAAACGAAGCACTCGTCAGGCTCGTATTGAAGAAATTGGCCGTCGATATCAATGAGACGATTGATATCCGTGGCCGCACAACACTCCACTGGGCCGCAGGGAATGGGCATTCGGAGCTTGTAGAGCTGCTTCTTGAGCGGGGGGCCGATATCGCTGCTCAGACGATCAATGGATCTACGCCGCTCCACAAGGCGGTTTCTGACGATGGAATTGTCAGAATTCTCTTAAATAGGGGAGCTGATATCGCTGCTCGGAGTGGGTGGGGGTCGACACCACTCAATGCGGCGGCTCAGAGTGGGAACGAGCAGACAGTAAAACTGTTATTGGAGTTTGGGTCAGATGTGAATACTGAGACTTTGGTTGGGGAAACACCGCTTCATACGGCGGCGTTTCATGGGTATGAATCGGTAGTAACGTACGTATATATCTATCATCTGAATTCACAATTAATACACCCGCACATCTTGTGACCGGTCATGCTTACTGCAATTGCAGAATATTGCTGGAATATGGCGCCGATATTCATGCTAGGACGCGGGTGGGCTATACACCGCTTCACCAGGCTATCCGTGGACATAACCCGCGCGAATCTCTGGTGAAGACACTTCTTGAAAAGGGCGTTGACGTTAACGCCCAAGCGTACAACGAGGAGACCGCCCTCCACTTCGCAGCAGGTGGCAAGCACGCCGCAATAGTCAAGGTACTCCTTGATGCCGGTGCCAATATAACAGCTATAGACTCACCCGGAAATACTCCACTTCATTGGGCAGCCAGGCAAGGTGACATTGAGATTCTGAGTGTGTTGCTGGAAAGGTCTATCGACATAAACACTCCCACGATACCCCCGCGCAGAGTGGGACAAAAACCTCAAGAAGCAACATACCAAACAGTACTTCACCTTACGGCTATGAAAGCAGCTCCTTTCCATGATGAACAATGGATAACTTTCCTCCTTGACCGAGGCGCCGACATCACCGCTGTAGACAGTTACGGAATGACGGCACTCCATTACGCGTCACAAACGGGGAACAAGATTATGGTCACCTTACTTCTAGAGAGGGGAGCGAGCGTTTTGGCCCGGTCCAATGATAATCGTACGGCGCTCCATGTCGCAGCAATGGGAGGTCATACCGAAATCGCGAGACTGTTGCTGGATTATGATGCGGACATTGACGCTGTGGAATCAAAGAAGAGGAGGACACCTCTGGCACTGGCCGTGAAGGGTGGTCACGAGGGGACAGTGAGGTTGTTGCTAGAGAGAGGTGCCGATACGGGGCATTGTGATGTTCGGGGGGACACGGTGTTGGGTGATGCGGCAACATTGAAATTTGAGAACATTGTCAGGATATTGCTGGAATGGCGCGATGTCTCGCAATACTGACTCGATATCTTATTTGATGGTTATATGAACGACATGGATAGGTGGCGGGCGGAGAGCTATATACCATGGTGGTGAGATTGATGTTCATGAAGTGAGTCTGGGAGTTTCGATTGGGACTGGGGCGTATGCGCATATTTCTATCATTCCTCTCTGGTTGGTTATGTTCTCTGTATAAAGAAAAGCTTTTGTTATTCTATCTTATTTTATTGCCATTACTACTATTACTATCTAGTCACTCTACCGTCGCTAGAATGGCCGGTCGGGGGTTTTTAATTCATAATTTTTGTCTTTCTTAAGCTTTTCTGAGACCGGCATCTTAGTGCAGTGATCCACGGCCGATCCAAAAAGCAATCATCGATATCAAACGGGGTGGCAGGCATGTCACCACGATCTCCAGCTCCTACAATCTAGATCTGACGATCCAACCAACGACGGCGGCACAAAACACATAAATCAGCCAACTCCAAACAACATCTCTCACAGCAACCAAACTCCAGCGATGCATCATTTCGCGGAGGTGTATTGTCAACATTCATCAACCACTGACGTATGTTGTACCCTTCATGTTCCTTTCTGGCTTGATCTCCGTGACATATAATCGTATGGTAACGGTCCGAGGAGCCCGAGGAACTGGGGAAGGAGCGCCGGTAGCATTTGAGAAAAGTGAGATAAACTATTTCAAGGCTGGCGAAGAGGAATAGAGTGATGATGGTAAACGAAATTAATACCAACAAGGGGTGGAATGGGTCGCAATCCCGGGTGAGCTGGGTGTGAAGGTTTGAAATCATTGTCAGGGTTTGATGGGGACTGTTGTAGAACCTTTTAGTCGATGTCTTTCTTGGGCAGGGCTCTTTGCAATAAGTGGTTTTATTCTTCAAGGACGTGTCTATAAGTCAGCAGTGATAAGTGCCTCTAATGTTGTTCTTGGGGTGTGTTATAAATGGGGGGGGGGGGTCGTAGATTTCAGGCCGTGTTCTATGAGCACTTGAAAACCGCGGGTAGAGATCAATTGATCTTGAGACTTGGTGCCAGCGTAGGCAGAGACGTTAATCAATTGAAGATATCTATGCAAACTTGAATTATAATTTTGACTGTGCTTTGTAGAGAGAACAGATCGCTAGAAGTCAGAAGGTGGTTGGGCGGGCAAACCTGTGTAGTGTGGCCATGATGCGAGTGCTACTACATGTAGCTGTAGAGGGCACAGCTGTTCACGACTAGTCGGGCAAAACATCAACACCAGGCTTCAAATTTATTACTCTCTTCTCTGTCCTGTCCTGTCCTAATGTTGACACCCAAACTCACTTGGCCTCCATCATCTAGATACCCTCAGTATTCTCTCCTCATCCTCCTTCACGTACTCCACCTCCCATGAAAACATTCCCAACAACTCTAGTAGGCCTCAATGGTACGCGACATCCTCCCACGCCCAACAGCTAAGGGTGTGCTGTCGTAGTACTGGTTAACCTCGTACGTGCTCGCGCCTTGTGTGGCCACTACTCAACACATTTCGATATATTGATTTATCCGTAGAGTTTGTCTGTTTGTCTGTTTGAACTACTGCCTTTTGGAGATGGAAGTCATGTCAGAAATTCGAGGGAAGGTGTCTTTATACCCAAGCGACTTGATTTTTGATTCATGAGCTCGGTTGGAAATTGAGAACTTTGGGGATTGCATGCATTTAGTACTACGTACTATGGAGGTATTATGGTAGATTCTTCAGATACATACATTACATGTATTGTAGACTCTTTGAAGAGCTACTATATATGTAGTCGGGTACAGCTACCTGGCAATTACTGTAATGTATGATAGGTTGAACAGTGCTCTACCAGGAGGAATTACAGGAACGGGCTGGCTAGCTATCTGGAACGCTTGACGAATCGATATATTTAGTACCCGAATATCTAATCAGCTGGGTCCTGACTGGCTGGGGAATAAGGTTACCGCAAAGGCTGGGAAATGATAGCCGTACTGCATATAGAGCGAGTACATACTGTCACACCGCACACGTAGCATTGGTTACGTATGTCACAACTGGTGATCAAACAAACTGGCCAGCTAAACAAAAATCTTAAAAACAGATTTAGAAGCCAAACGTTCTCTTCTAATGACATCCACCGCCATGATCTCCGCCACTAGCTTACAAATATCTCTACAATATCCAATCCCAACGCCCTGGGATGATAAGAAGAAACAGAGTGATTGGCTGTGATCGATAATAACTCGCCATGCATTAAGAGTGGCACCGGCCTTAACTTCTAGTTAGTGGAATTCGCTATTCATTCATCACAGGATTCAGCTTCGCCGACAATCGTATTTACAGCTTGTCAATGTCCCTTCACTTGCCGTTCCTCAGCTTAGTGCAGGTACGCTGCTTGCATTTTATATTCGTGTTAAGCAAGCGGGAGCAGATGGTTTTCATCAATGGTACGTCGTGCCGTCGGACCCTTTTTACATTTGCGATGTGGGCTGGTTTCTTTCTAACTCAACGAGGGGAAAAGCGGAGGTGCTTAGCTACTTTTTCACGCAGCCGGTCAAGTATCACTCCGTCAGTTAGCACCCCTTCAGAACCTTCCGACTGAACCCCTTTTCATCCCCTCTTCAATTGTCTGCTTCAGCTCGCATATCACAACCTTACTGAAGTAACACAACCCCACTTCACCCGTCAGCGATCCACGATAAACGCCTACGCCCTATATACATCGACCCATATACATAACAAACATGTACTCTACCTCTGCAACCACGCTCAAACCCGGTAGACATCTTCACGATCAGAGGTGCATATCAATTGTGCTTTGAGGATGGCAACAAATCACAGATACCCGATACGCAACACCAGTAATTCGGCATCATGTGGTTTGATCAGACGAATCGCGGGGGGTGTTGTAATCTTCACGTTGGAGATAGTCAAAGGCTGGTTATTTTGATCGAACATTCGGATTGAGGGGGCAATCAAACAAAGCATAGTAAGTCAGGCAGATATTCATCCAAAAGTGTCGAATATTAAAGATCGTATAATAAACACATCATCACTACAGTTTGTGGAATCCTACCAGCAATTGGTTGGATATTGGGCCCGTCGTATACCTGTTACAGCATGAGCCCCCTAACAGGCAGAAAAGAGGGTGCTTGAGAGAGGGGGCGAAACCATACCTATCATCCATCTCGATACCTTCATCATCCACTATCCTCGTCTCATAATTGGCATAAATACACGCCAGTGTCATTTTCATTTCTACTCCCTATATCAGCTCACCATCATATATCAAGGATGGCAAAAATGCGTACACGGGGGTACGTACCATAAACTGCCAACCACTTCCCCACACACCCCCTCCCCCCACTACCAAACATCCACAACCACCTCTCCCCCTCTTTCCCCTCTTCATCATTGTTCACCCACCTCTCTGGCCGCCACACCTCCGCATCCGCCCAAAACGTCCTATGCAAACTATACGCCTGTCCTGCTACCGTCACACCGCCTGGAACACAATACTCGCCCACCATACAGCCACCATCCGTCGTCACTCTTGGCTGTGACCCCGGAATCGGCGAGTTAAGCCGCAATGTCTCCAAAACAACAGAATTGAGGAATGGCAGCGCATCAACATCCTTAAACCGCCACAGATTCTCTGCCGTCTTGAGTTCATCACGAAGCCGTGCCTGTCGTTCTGGCGAGACAGAGAGATTGTACGTGGCGTAAGTCAATGCTGTAGCCGTGGTCTCGTGGCCGGCACCAATATGATCGAGGATTTCACTTGCAGCATCAGTTCTGCCAAGTGCATTATTACGGCGGAGCCGGTAGTAAACACAATCGTCGTCCGCTCCCTTCTCGGTCGGCATGTCTGCTTCAGCGGCATCGCACATCTGTAGACACCACTCCTCGATCTGATCATTCGCATCATCAACCCAGCTCGGTATAATCTTCACTTTTCCGGCCGTAAGCCTTCCCACCCACTTCACCAACCCCGGGAGCTCACTCGCCCATGAAAAATAAGGGCGCCGAATCTGATACAGATCTACTAGGAACCTCTTGCGTGTGGCTTCATCGCGGACAAAGTCAGTCCCGTGTCGCTGTGTGAAGAGGTACGACGTTATAAGGTCCAACGTGAGGGCATTGTACAGCTCGTGCACCTCGTGAACCTCTCTGGTATCAAGGATCGGAGTCATCCGCTCCTCGAGAATTTTGCGCGTGTTCGCTAGAAGGGTTGGGGAAGAGGAGATCGTGCTGTTGGAGTATATATTTGCGATCAACCTCTTCCTTTGTGAGTGCTCGCGGCCATGGATGAGCGAGAATAGCGGCTTGGATCTACATCTAACTATGAGCTTCCATCTCTATCTACAATTGCGACATGGGATGAAATACCCGTAGTTTGTGAAGATGTAGTACCACGGTGACTTGTCAAGGCGGGCATAGACGGACTTGATAAGAGATGGGTCGTTGATCGAGATCTCGGTAGGCCCCAGGCGTACTACTGGTCCGTGCTTAACATGTGCAGCGTGAATAGAGCGGTTGCGCCGGCCCGTGAGTGTTCGGCTAAGGATCCAAAGACGTGTGAAAGGTGCTATTGGGTGCGCAGACGGAATGCGACGGAGAGGGCAGCGGAGGTGAGTGTAGAGGCTGTGCAAGAGGAAAAATACAAACAGGATGAGAACCATTGACAGTGAGGCAAGCATATTGATTGATATTATCTAAAGTGGGAGTAGGTATCTGTTGTGAAGAGAAATTATGGCAATGATAGGCCTTGGTGATTAGCTACCTGCTTAGCTAGCTAGACCTGCTTACCATAATAATAGTAAGAAGCGATCGAAGTCGCAATTATGGTTTTGGGGGGGGGGGGGGGGGGGGCGGCAGCGTTTCTATCCCGTCTATTATCAATGAGTGGCCTGATGATGACCTCCTGACCTCGCATAAAACGTTTACACACTTGCGTTGGGGGAATTGGGTTCAGAGATGCATGAGTCTTTACGCTGCTGCGTAATAGTTGATATTCGGAGATGAAGGCTGAGGGACAAGTGGCACTGGGTTAGGGTTGATATCTGCCTGAACTACAACCGTTCTGTGGCGTTGTTTTTCCTGGGAGCTTAACAAACAAAGGGCCCTATTAAAACACGAAGCTGAGTGGACGGGAGCCCGAGGACCTATATACCTATATAGCTCTTTTTTTTCCCGGAATATAGTCGTTATCTACTCCGAGTCTCTATCTCAGGCCACTCCGCATTATTATTAAGCCACAGCTGTCTTCTTATCCATGTCATGTGATCCGTCCGATATCGTGAAAGCTGCAGAGTGACTCCAGACTCGAATACAAAGTAGTTACCCCACAATCATACCGCATGTCTTGCATTTTAACCATGTGCCCTCGCGCTCATGTACGATATGTGCACCCTGTCAGATAGGTAACGAGAGCTATTCCTACTTCCCCCCTCTCCGCGACTCGGTCTCAGCCCATAGATACAAGTACCGTATTCCCCCGCAACAAATTACGGCAACCCACCCTCCCTCTACATTCATCACAGTCATGTATCTCTACGACATTATGTACCATCATCACCTTTCATCACCGTACCAGCACCCAGCACCCACCACCACCACCACCACCACCACCACCACCACCAGAACTAGCAGGCAGCAGCCCTCCTCGCTTATCGATAAGATAGAACCACGACCCAGATTCAATCAAGATCGGAGATCGGCGATGGAACCCTGGTCAACTAGGGGTAGGGTTATGAGCGGGGGGGGAGGAGGGAGGGAAGGAGGGAGGGAGGGTGGTGGGTTACCATGGTCCAGTTGAAACAAAAAGAATAAAAATATGACCAGGTAGGTTGTGTGGAATTGCACTTATGATGACATCTGGTGGGTGGTTGTGTCAGTGACGTAGAGGGACTGCGGGTGAACTCTTTTTGAGATCTCAGGAACGGTTTGTAGTATGTACATGTAGGTTAGAGAGTATGATGTTACTCTTTTGGAAAATTTAATGATGTATCACGTTCGATGCTGTTGATGTTGCTGCTGCCGCTACCCCATACGTAGTGTGATAGCAGGAAATATATAATTTTTTTTCTTCTCTCGAGTACGTACTCTTCAGCTACTCTGGCCCTTTCCCCGCCTCCGCTCCCCCAGCCTTGTTCTATTAGATTAATTAGAAAGAAGAAAAAAAAAGTCCACTTGATGGAAGCTGTTTTTTTTGGCTCGTTTAAATCGTGAACCATATACCATATCCCGATCAACACCACTCGGTATGAAACCGGGACCTCCGAAGTGAGGTTTCCGTAAGTATATTCTCTCTTGCTACCAGCTCGGACGGTAGAGTAGTGTAATAGTCTTTTTCGTATTTTTTTTTCTCCCGCCCCCGCCCAAGTTCAAATATGACTTGCTCGCTGTTCATGTTCGTGAAAAGCGCAGCTCATTCCAATATTGCTTGCTTGCCACGATAACAACCGTAGCCCCGAAGGGCCCCTCCTCCTCTTGCTCCTTATGCCTCCACCCCCCCCCCCCTCTCCCCGCCTTCACGTGGGCAAGTGAGTAAGTGAGCAGTTGTTTGGTAATGGCGTTTCTGTCCATCCAGCCTGCAGCTGTGCCTTGCAAGGGTTGTCTTGCAGAGCTCCAATGAGCATTATCTTGAAGGGGCCAATGCTCCAATAATGCCCTCCTTTCCCCCCCTGACAAGGAAAAAAAAAAAAAAAAAAAAAAGTGAAAGCAACAGCCAGAAAAACCATGTGTCGGTAGACGTGTTGTTGGGGAAAGGCTAGGGAACTTAACAGCAGTACCGCGATCGGGCTTCTGAAGAATAACGATCGAACTTTCTCTCCGGCTCCTTCGTGAAACTTAATCTGATTAAACGTGGGTTTGTAGGTACGACGCAACCCCACCCCCTCCGTTTCGTTGTTACTGCTGTTGATGCTGCTGGTACGTTTAATTTCCGCACTTTCAATATATCCTAACGAAACCGAGCTGACTGAAAGCTGCCTGATGCCTACTGCCGTTAGTTTAGTGACATGTCGTCGAAAAGCTGTCAATTACTTTATTTTTTTTCTCCATTTTTTTTTATCTCAGTTTGCCAGTTCAGGTTCCTGGTTGATTCACGATGTATTCGCATGAGATGAATCCCTTTGGTTTGGTCACGTAACTAGCTAGGCAGCACAATGATGCCAACTGTCAGCAGGTTGGAAAAGGGTTTAGTTTCAACACGATGAAAATCTGAGGTTATCCTGGTCGGGGTAGTATAAATATCCGTGACTTCTGACCCTCTGTTTATCGGCAAAAAGAATCTCGTTTTTATCGTCGAACACTCCCTCACTTACCCCTTTGTCGTGCTAGTCCCTCTGGAAGCTGTATTAGCACACATTTAGACTTTTCCGGTATACGTATAAACCCTAGCAAGTGGACAAGTCAAGAAACCGAAAAAAAAGAAAGGTCAAATATATCACTCCAGACCCATCATACTAGACTCACACACAACACACTCATCCACAAAAGGAGAATCTCTCTCCCGAGGCATCTATCTAAGTCTGCCTGTCCATCGAGATCTACATTTCTTTAAGAACTCTCAGGCCACAACCCAAGGGTTATCAATGTGCCGTTACACTAAAACAACCTACCATTGTGGACATCCGTTCCAGTCAAGGTCCGCTACAGATTCCAGGTGTAGAGCGAATCCACACCCACCAACCATCGAGAACACACATGAAGTCACAGCGGACACTCCCTGCCCCACATGCTATATGAGGGACAAGGAGAAGAAGTACCACCAAGTTATGGAGTGGATGGAGGGGATCCCGATCGATGAGGATGGGAAGCCGTCTGGAAGCGGAAATGGAGGTGGGAGCGGTGCCAGTACTACTGAGCGGGGGTAAAGAAAAAAAGCGCAATGCCAAGAAACGAAACCGGGATTTGCGAGATCTCCGTATGTGAAATGCACCATGTCATCGTCGTTTGCTCGTCGAGCTAGCTGTGGGGAATTTCGATCTGATATAAAAATGTGAAATTAGTGCGCACGTACGGATTAGTTGAAATGTTAGAAAAATTGGACGACGCTTATAGGGGGGGTTCACGTTTTTGGTCAGTTTTTGTGAGGGGCTACCAATTCTTGAGGTAGGTTGAAAGTGTTTACCAATGGGAACGATTCCACGGGGCAGCTAGACAGAACCCGTTTCTGGGCGAGGGAGCTAACAGCAGACTTATTAGAAAGGACAATTCTGAAGAAATAAACGTGAATCCCTTCAACGAAGCACCAGTTTTGATCAATAACCTGGTTGGTTGCAAGTGATCGGAATGTAGTGAATTTATTGGTTGTTTGTCGTTAAGAAGATAGTAACTTAAGTCACGTTTTACAGTACCTCATAAAAATTGTGGGCTTATCAATTGTTGATCAGTGAAGTGTTTTTTGCAGTGGTGTGGATAAGTTGATGTTGCTCGTTGTTCGTCGTCTCACATAATCCGGCCGAGTGAGCTTCCATGAACGGCCAACTTCTTGTGCGACAACGATATACCGAGAGGGGAAGTGCATCGCAGCTCATTTCAGGGCATCTCGTTTTATGCAGGGGGGAATTGTTTTTTGTTTTTTTCCCGAAGCAGCTGATTAGTGCAAAAAAAGCTAAGCTAGGGCGAGTTAGCAGGTTGAAGAAATTTGGGTGAAGGTGCATTACTTATCACCTTATCTTGGCAACATTGTCGAATCACTCATTTCGTTTGATGAGATACATGTGAGACAGCTGAAGTCAAGAGATGCAAGGGCTCCTGTCGGTGGAGAATAAAAATGATAAGCTGGCTAGAATTTTAACTTCTTGTTTGGTCTGCCTATACGTTACTTCAAAATATGTCTTAATAATTAGTAGCTATAAGTAATGATCAGTAGTGGTCATATATTACATGGATGTTCAGACCGTTATGCAATATACCTTAGAATAATCATCATGCTATATGGCTTTCTAAACGATTCTCAAAGTTCGGAATAAAGGTGTAGAAGCCTATTTGATGTCTGGGGCGGGTGGCATGATCTACCTGGCCTCTAGAGTTGGCCATCATCGTGCTTGCGAAGTGAAAATAGGAATGATAACAGATGAGGATCCAAGCATTGTGTGGTGAACTGGTAATGAGGGAGATGGGATTTAAAGATTGTTGTTGGACGGGAGGAAAGGCTGTCCTGGATATTGACCGACTGCAGATCCGGAACTCAAAGCTAGCGAGATGCTACCCATGACGAAAAAGGGGTTACAATTATCCGGCGCATTATCCAGGGTTCGAAGACCGAATTTGGCATGGAGGATTGTCAGATTTCAAAGTGAAAATACAGACTTGATCCAGCATCCTTGGCAGAACCGGTACTTGTCTGGGACATCTTGTGTTCATGGCTCGGCATGCCGAGACAACACATATGAACTTTTTCCACCACAAAACTTGGGGAATATTGAAACCTTAATTCTATAACCATAGTCGGATTTTCCAAGTTTTATGATACCAACTACATCTAGCAAAGAGCACATCAATTAAAATAAAATTATATTCAATAAATCTTTTAGTTATTTGTGGTCATCATAGTGGAATAAGCCAATCTTGTAAACAGTGATGTTAAGTGGAATTGGTAAAATTCATAGCGCTAGCATGTGTAATTTATATGTAGTAAAATTCAGGTGTATATGTAGTTTTGATAAGGGTATGTCATGGTCTTTAGGTTAATCGGGGAGTGATGTAAATTAATTGTCTAGCTAAACATGCATGTCTATACCAGTACCAGGTCATGGTTTTAAAGAAATACCCTTATACCCCGGACTATATGTCAAATATTATCATAATTCTGTACTTCTGAATACAAGGTCATGCTCAAACAGCCGAGTGCACGTGGCTTCCTCGGCCGGCTAGGGGAAGACACGGTTTCTTTTACAGTCTAGCTCTTTCAAACTTAAATTATAGACACACCATATATGAGGACGTACCCAACTACATGTACATACATAATTAACACACTCACACCCATTCAGCAGACTTAGTGTCCCATGGTTTGTAGCTCATTTCAGACTGCTTGCCTACAACCATTACCTGCAACCCATCAGAAAAGACTTAAGCTTGCGCTCCATATAACAAGGACTACGTTGATGAGCTCTGAAATCATCTAGACAATATATATCCAGACGTTGAGAAACCAGCAATTCCTGTTATCCGTGAGCTCGAGGGTCCTAGGGCCCTCTGCTATGAGCCACGGGATAATAGGCTTCTTCTCTCTCTTTCTGGGTTTATTCATACGAATCTACGCTGCTCCCCGGGACTCATTGCTGGTATAGGTATATTCTACAGTTCGCATACATAGGATGCTAGCGTTGAAGAATTTGATAGCATATAACTGGAATCTGGAATTGCGGAATTAAAACACAATTACACCTATTCAGGTCTACTCAACAGGGGGATTAAGCAATTAAACGATAATCTCTAGTAATCCCTATACTGCATCTAGATAACCTCCTAGGTAAGTGTTTCTCATGATTTATATAATCACCAACAATCACTCATCCTGCTTATTTACAGCTAGCTATTTTTGGACATCGATGTTGAATCCATGTACTACGCCGTCAAACCAAGCTTCCAAGTATGCACACACATGTCTGCACCTAGCAACAGATGGCCGAACTTTCTGCGCGGGAAACGTTGTATTTCTTCACCCCAACGCACTGCTGCGGCGAGTGCCTACTTCTAAGGTTAAAATTAGCACAATGTTACCAACTGGGCATAGTGATGGTTATCGATATCTACACAAGGCAGAAGGCGCGATTAAGGTCATACGGTTAAAGCATGCTTCAATATATGCGAAACCATGTTCATGAGAGTGCTTGTGCGACTGATTGGTGCGGAGTTATGCAAACACTCTACTTTAGACTGACCCCACACGCATAACTCAGCCACACAAGGATTTGTTACACTGAATTCATGAAGTACATGTAGGTAAATACCTACATCATCATAGTACAGGTGCCTATAGTACTATAATCTCGCTTCAAAAATAGTCGGTATTGCCGCCAACGCGACCGAAAATCTAATCGGAACGGACTTTGCCTGATCCCCGAAATCGCAATACTTTATAAAATAGTGCTCATGCCCACTGGTGCACTTGATGGAAGGAGTTCGTGGAATATTTGGGATCGACGCAATAGAAGTGTTCAACTATTCTATTGAGAACTCCCGCGGCCGGCGCCCGACGTCACTTCTATCCTCAGGCTTCACTTGCGTCCCATCTCCTCTAACCCTTCGGCCATCCCGGTCCCATCAATTCATCTGTAAAGACGCCACAATCCTCTTTCGAACTATCCTCACTCATCTAAATATCACGATCGAGATGTGCGTTACCTACATATATACCCACCGCCTGTGCGGTCACACCTACAGCGTCAAGAAACGGCAATCTTTTGCCTGCTGGTTCACAGGCTCACATAAACGGCCTCTACGCCTCGTCCGGACGAAAACAAGATGCGACCATTGTGCCCGTAACCCAAGAGAAGTCCCGGTGATCAAGAAGAAAACAGAGGTCCGACAAAGGCCTATTCGATGGTCCGAGGTTTCATGATTCATCAACGGGAATTCGGAGGCTGGCTTGAGTACACGGTTTCGGCGCGGCCTCCAGTCCTTGAACCTGGGCTCCAGACCAGGGTGATACCCGAACTTAATACTGATCCCAGCATATTGATGTATTGCACGTTTCGGATCACACCTGGTGTAACGGTTCGAGCCGTCGCACATGGAATAAAGGCAGGGGAGATGGAATAATCGGGGTTGAATTCTGCGCTCGACTGCATCCAGCTGCAGAGAACTATCAGACTCATTTAAAATATTATTAGTAAGTAAGATATTTCTCTACTTCTACCCCACCTGTACCTAAACACTTTCTGATGATCATCACAATTTTTCGCAGCGGGATGATCCTTGAAATTGCATGGTAGATTGCTAGGGTTGATATCAATTTCCGCATTCTATGGGGCACAGAGAGCTATGTCTCTAGTTGGGAACAATAGTTGACCAGGACTCGGGGAATCGAATGGTCAGTTGAAGCCTTGACACAAGAAACGTGATGTACATATACTTACACCTGACAGTACTATGACTCGTAGCCCATGTTGTAAAGGACCGAAATCAAATTTTCCCAACAAGAGATGCCACAATTAATAGAAATATTTCTGCATCACAAAGAACTTTATGCATAACTAGCCACCAATCGAGACGTCCCTGGTGTTCATTCAAGTAACGCAGACTCAAGAAACAATATAATCCTCACCCTAACCCTCGTATATCAAAATTCTTGAAATATATCACACAACTTTCAAGAACGTTTTTCAACATGCGTGCCCCAATTGATCTCCACATATATATATAGTCCAATAGATTCTTATTGTAGTGAATTATAACCATACTACATCGAATTGCATCTTTCTCTTCCCACATATTCAATCACAATCATCAAATTCAAGGAAATTTAAAGCTAATAATGTGTATCCACATAATTACAACATTCAGCTGCGGGCACAGCTCTATCGACTTCTCGCCTACTACATCACATTGTGGTCTAGGCTCATCGATCTGTTCTGCGAATTCGCAAGCGCTGCCACTCAAGGAGAGAGAGAACGTGGCTTGTGATGAGTGCTACTGGGCTGGTAGAGATCCCAAGGCGTTGCTTGAAATGAGAGCAGAATGTCTCCGGATCGACTCAGCCTTCGACGCCGAGGCGGAAAAGAAGAAAGAAGTAGAGGTTATAATTGATAGGGTTGTGGGTAATGATTGGGACTCGTTTTTCTTTTCGACAGATCTTTAGCTTTTGTCACATCACATAGATCTACAGTAAAGTTTACTAACATTTTAGTTTGTATCCTGCGATCGGCCCGAGAAATAAATTATTAGAAATTCAAACGTACGCGTGTACACCGATGCTTTCTAATCTTGTATAATTTCCTTTAAACCCTAACCCTTAACCACATGTGTTCTACCTATGTGTGTGATGATCCTTGGTTATCCGAGTGACTTTGTGTGACTAACGCTCAAGTCGATCACCCACTTGATACGTGTGCGTGTACTTACCAGATTAAGGTACATACATGTCCTTTGCACGTAAGTCATGATTGATCAAAGCTTTTACCTAATAACCCACATGCGGTGAGTTATATAGCTTACCATCATGATGTTATTAACTTTAGCTTCTGGCTTAAGCTGAGTGCCTCGCTATTTACAACCACATTATCCACGTTAATCTTTATGCTTTTAACCCATAGTTTTAGTTTACTCTTTACTTTGTTGTACACGCGTGTACATGCTTACGGACAATCACATATCAGGCTCTGAACAATAAGTACATGTACATGTACCTCTCTTTCAGCATATTACATATACTCGGATCACGTGCTACCGTGCACGCGTGGATCACAGAAGTGGGCAACCGAAATACATGTATATATATGCGTAGAATGGCAAACCTTCTGCTGTGTATTATGTATATTATGTATGTTTGCTTAGATGTGGTTAAGCGAAAGAGAATCAACGGGAGCTGGGCAGCTTGGGCGTTCTCGTGCAAGTGCTGTGTGGCAGGCATTTATCACAGGTTACTTATGAAATTAGTATTGATGGCCTTGAGACAAATCACATGTTGTATCATGGGTATAGAGCAAAGGTGTATGTGGAGCTACATATTACCAACCATGAGCCACAGAACCTCCATGTACCATCATTGTACTTTGAGTGACTTTTGCTAAGCTCTCTAGTACGTCTCTAAGTAAACTTGCTTGGCAATATCCGATACTAGGACGACAACCTCGAAAACTCTATACCAATCGCAGGGTATTTACAGTATTCTTCAAAACATCACTCGCTGGTAACCCACACCTTCGCGCGGTTTTAAAGGTTCAGAATACCATCGGGACGTTGGAAACACTTGAACTGCATGCTACAGTGTAACCTTAGAATGTCTTTCTTTACACGTAACGGGAAAAGGCTAACCTATAATAGATGCCACCGTTGTTGTTCTCGGCGACGTCATCGGCACCCAACGTCAACTCTTAATTTCTCTCCCCGCTCTCCCCGATTTTCTTCTTACATGTCTCCTGTTAAGATCAAAACTCACCTCAATTTTATCACTATCCAACAAGATGACTCCATGGGCCACCTAGAAGGGGTTTTTAGCTTTTGGTCCATGATATATTTAGAGAGTGCATTCGTGTCTCTTTTCAGCCAAAAAGAAACACAAGATTAATCGGTTTATAATACCTTGAGAACAGACTGCGCATGCTCGCACAGAAACGGTGATAAATCACTCAGTTTCCGAATAACTTGCGCTCCCCCCCAACCCTCTCCCCTTGGCGCTCTAGACTTCACCATCAGAAAGGACATTCCCCAACCCGGGCGAAAGAGATCAGATGAGTTTTTTATCCTCATGCTCATCATCTCATCTAAAGTGTTACCAGGCTTATGAATATGGCTCGAATCCTGTCTATTGGGTCTAGAACTTTCCTTTCGTTTTTCCGTGGTGTCGGGCTTTTACCCTCAGTGTAGGTCTATAGAAATCTTACCTATCAATGAATACTTCGTCGCATGTTAATATATGTCTGCAGTTTGAGTCAAATAACAGGATATAAGCCTTGGCATATTAAACCGAGTGATAGGTTATGTCTGGAAAGCTCCTGAACGTTATATATATATGCCGCCTATTTCTCCGCCCTAACAGCAAGACGTCAAAGAATTCAAAGAGGCAGGCTAGATGTCATACTGTTTCAGCTTCAATATATCCCACACCTTCCTTCCCCTTGCCAGCGCTGAAACTTGAAAAAGCCACCTCCGCATCTACTTGCTACGTATACACCAAACCAGGTACAATAGCCGTATTTCTTTTTTCTTCCCCGCTAACGGTATCGGTAGATTTCGTGTTGGACTAACCGATTCGTGCTATCTTTTAGAGTACCATGGTAATCAGCCTTGCATGATGCAAAGTTTTATTGGACGGACAGGAACCCGGAGGCGTGGGACTGACAGTCTACTTTACGAATAGACCGCCACAAGCCTGGTATGATCCATTTCTATGGATACATAAATAGGTAACGTAGGTACTATCTTAGCTAATTAGGCGGACAATAACCCGTGCGAATATTCTAACTTGTGGAGAAAGAAGCCTTAACTTCAAAATGTGTTCTTGTTACAAGTGACGTGTCGTTTTCTCGAAAGAAAGTAGATACAGTATCAATAGGGTGCCTAGAATAGGCTATCCGGAGGTTTAGTTCTAAGGCATTCAGTTAGTAAGATTTCTTCTTTGTGATTCCTTGCAAGGCTGCTTAACATCTCAACTGACAAGGGTACACTAAGAACTCTCTAGTCTATGAGAATTTTTAAGTATTGCTGATTCGCCTCACAATAACATATTACGTGGCCATAACAAACACCCGTCCCATCATTGACATACCCGTAGTACTGCTGGCATGAGTGAAGAATCTCGAGATTCTATGGGGTGCAAATTTCCCGGCGCTCTGACCCTCAAAGGATCTGTACCGTGCATCGATGCAGGAAAAGTCTTAAGAGTCCCAGTGATCATGTGGTTTTAATTCGATGCTGTTCCACAAGATGCAATCCCAATAGGTAAATAAGCTCTTTCTATTATTACCATGAAGTGCCGGGGGATTTTTGATGAGATATTCTGTGGTCCATGGGACTCCTGAATACTATTAAATATCCACTGTGGTACACGATACGATTTAAGCCAATATATGTTGTACAAGACCGTTCCTTGTCTTGGCAAATCATCCCCTGTTAAGCTATGTCTTATGAATTTAATCACAGCTCCATCACACAGAGATGACATTGCCGTGCCTATCTGTAGGTGCTAACCACCTAAGACCTTTCTATACAAGTGCTATAGGCGAGTAAAATCCTCCGAACCAGTTGTTTACCAGGGCTTTGAATACACTTGAAGGGAGGCCCTGCGAGAGATAGGTTTTAGTACCAGATACGTTAAAGTGGTTTATAAGTAATTAGGCGGCACAGATTCTATAGCTGTCAGATCTTATAGACGTTGGTGGTAATTCAGTGGTAGCGGTATATATTTGCATATATGTCCGTGTACCTAGTTCTCAATTCACTCCCCCACCTTGAGCACGATGAGGTCATTAATAGAGCAGGTAGGGTATGTAGGTTCGGAGGCTAACCCTCGGGGATTTAGGAGTTTCTTATCAACCCGAGATGTTCAATGATCAATGATCGGGTAACTGAGGAAGCTAAGAGCCATTCCCGTGATCGCGAGTTCATGCATCCAGTTACGAGTTAGCCGCAGGTAATATCTGACATGCTAGAATAACAGATTGTATAAAGAATCTAGCAAACCCCGATTTGATAATGCATCAATAAATTCTCACCGACTTCAAGTCACTTGAAACTGGGGTCCAGAGTAATTGTCAATTTGATAGCAGCATGAACGCGAAACAAGTACCCGCAAGGGAAAATACGCATAACCATTAATGGCGGCAACTAAGGCTATATGATTTCCTTGTATAGCATTCGTATCCAGACCTATGTACCCTGCCCGGGAAGTGGCCTTTACGCGATGATTTTAACCTCGATAGCTTTACATGGCAATTTTCTCATAGTATGTAGGCTCAGTCGGCGAAACATTTAGGTCTTTATCTATCATCATCCCTATGTTTCGTAGCTAACTAGAAATGAAAAAAGGATTAAATTGGGCACAACAACCGCTCAGCAAATCCCCCTTCGATTGAATTGGACACTAGGAAACGTTGCTGTTTCTTACTATGCACAGAGCCGTAGTATGGTTACTGACACGTGGACCAACCTTTCTCCTAGTGATGAATATCTTCTGGTTGCCCTTTTTGGACATTCGCCCCTCCATGTCGTGGTTCCAGGTGGGCGGTATTGATGGCTTGATCGACCGCGGTTCTGTGCGTGCAAAAGTGAGATTCCCATCTTTCGCTCTGGGCGAACCGTAGAGGAGTGAATGAAGGAAGGCAATTGAACAGGTACGGCTCCCGGCTTTAGATCAAGTGCCAATTATCGTTTTCTGTTTAGCGGTAAGTAGGTATACCTGGCCACGAAAACGTGAGAGGGAGTGCAGCGCAGGGAAAGTTGTGGTTGAGAATTGAACACATGTTGGGATGATAAAGTACGCCATGCCCTATTCAGTCATACAAGGAAGGAAAGTAAAAAAAAAAAAAAAAAAAAGTAAGAAAACAATTAACAGAAATTCTTACAATGGCTTATTCCATAACGATCGCTCTTATTTTTTAGAACAGAAAACGGCAAGAGAGAAAACCGTTGGATAAGGCTATTTAACGGATTTACTGCCTCGCAGCGCAACAAGCATTCGTATGGTACATACACATACATGTGGATGTATTCATAACGTACTACTAGAGTAGGGACACTGTACATATGTACAGGATGTAGGTACTATAGGTACATCCGTACGTATATACGGACTACTCTAAACACCAACATCTTTGGCGTTTCCATGGGAAGATACATACATACAGTGATTGCAACTGCAATCAGAACTCTTTAGGTATGTACGTGTCGCGAACATAGCTCAATGCGGGGTGGTAGCGGCCAGAGCTGATTGGTGCATCTGCGTCTTTCTTCTGGTTCGGAGACGTCCACGACAACACCGGCTCATCTCGACTCGGCAACCACCATGACTGAATTGCCGTCAGCTAATAGCAATCAGCGCTGATATAATCACCACTTATAAATATTAAATCAACTAGCCCTTTTCAGGACTACAACCAAATGGCCCTTGGTCTATATCCGTGCTCTAATTGATCGAACATACCTTGGATGATCCGGGACGGCGGGAATTGATTTTTAACAGAGGTTCCATTGGCTCTCAGTTAATTCGAGAGATATGGACAAGCCCGTGCCTGAAAAAATATTCTCTTAATTTTTAGCAGACGATTCAATGGCCTTTCTCAGAGATGAGGGCAGATTCTATACGTCTTGGGAGGCATCTTGATGCAAAAACCACCCCGCATTCTGTACGATCCTTCTTTTATTTTCCCTCCCACTCACGTGTTATTTCTTATCCTTACATTGTAGATCTGCTTTGTGGGGAATATGTATGGGAAGGATATATAGTTCAGGATGGAGTTAAGCTGGAAGTTAAAAGATGACAAACATGTGGTCGTAGATGGGATATCGCCCTATCATACGCATTGTATCACTGTGCAAGTATATATGTAAGTACGTACATGTAGGTACCCACTCACAGGATCCTACAAGTTAAAATACGTCACGTATTAGTTAAATTAACTATTTGTTTGGCCTAGTCCCAAGCTTCGACACCTCTGGCCGTACATTTTCCATGAACATTCTTCTCGTGGGACCAAAGTATAGCCCCTAATTGGACCACTTGATTTTTTGTTTACTCAAGAGACGCGAATCCTTGCCTATTTGTGCGCAGTGCCCGGGTTTTACACGTCGTGTCTGCTCTTGTTATCGTTTGAGGGAAGAATCCCGCAACATGTTGATCCAGCTTGCCGAATGTCCATACATGAACTCCAGGCTCTATAGCTAGTTTTACAGGTTCTATGGTTCACGAACACTCACTCGTTCTGCATAAGCCTAGAGTATTGCATTTTCATGGCTGAACTGACAAGAAAGACATTCACTATCAGGTACCAGGCACTGGCAAGTGCAGATACGTACGTCGAATTCCAAAAAAAATGGAAACAAGGGGTCTTCCCTGTTGTAAAGGTCCGGATAGCATATTCGGTATCTCTAGACAAGCTCCAACAGTTCATCCAGAATTTCTGGAGTCGGAAGATGAAACAAACTGAAAAATCCCCCCTTCAAATAAATTTCAGCCTTTTATACTGTCGCTCTTTGACAGGCAGGGGTCCAGATCAACAGCCAGGTGGATATTTGGAACCGGGCGGATCGAGAGAGGCGACGCGGTGAGGTCTTTCTTCGAAACCTCATGGCTCCAGGCCAATCGATATATTATACTAATACCAGCCAAGATCTGAGGTTGTGCATCAAGGTAAATCCAAATCTGCACCGTTAATCCTTCAGGGGAAAAGAACAATTCTCTAACAACATTACCCCTTTGCTGCATACATTGCATACTTGCCTGCTTTCCTTTTCCCTTGTCCTTCCTCTTGTTTGGCACCACGGTACTTTCTCAAACTTGCGTTTACTACCAGGTCAGTGTATTGTTTTAGCTTTCTTTTTTTCCGCCTTAACCTAATTGACAAACTAACTACATGTAACTTCCTAGCTATGTATTACCCACCAACCCAAATGTAGTACCCACCTACCCGTTGATTTCGATCAGTGAAGGGAGAGTACGTGGTGTGAGATTGAACAGATTCGAGTAGATGAGACGATGTCTCTTACTGTGGAGTACCCGTCCGACTCGTACTTTCCAGTAGAAAGTAGCAGCCCATCGGGAGCCTTTGGAGGAGGAGGAGGTAGTTGCAGTTGTAGTTGTGTGAGCTGGCAGGTCATCATCTTTCAGCAAGCAGGCAAACGACGAACGAGAGATTGAGAACAAGACGACAGTACCAATCCATTGATACGTACTGGACGTCACTGCTTCCCATGGAAGCCTCGGTCGAACAATCTCTGCAGACCGAGCACCTGCGGTCCACCGTGGTAGCTTACTTACAACACAGTATCCATGCCCCTTGCTCATGCAACATGCACGCCCCCACCGGGACAGGGTCCCTTACAGGTCTCGTCGACTTCATCACGCATATTTTTTGGGAGCATACCATACCTTTCGACAGATTGCCTTTTTTTTTACTTTCAGCCTCCTTCCTTCTGCTTTCCTCCTCAAGATAAAAAGTATGGCGATCAAAGCTACTTTAACAGCCACTTCTTCCCCACAGTACAGTATCAACAAGCAAGCAAGGCACAGAAAAACAAAGTCCATAATCAGAATTCGGTAACATATATATCAATCGCCAGCTACCTACCACCGCATCGACAGAACACCGCCAGACTCAAACACAGATCAATAAACCTCAATAACAATTCAACCCGTCTAGTTCATCTAGCCCGTCCAACTGCTCCAAACTTCATCGAGATTTACTCTCGATAAAAAATCTACCACAACGTCTACCTTCAATCTAGCAACCATTACTACCCTCAATACCTACAGCATGTCCTCTCCTACCTCTCCAAACTCTCCAAACTCGCAAACTTCAATATACTTCAATTCGCCTTGGCAAAATAAGCTCAAAGGTTAACTTCAAACCCTTACCCCCCACCACGCAATTCCGAGATAAACGGTTCTAACAAGCAAACTTTATAGAGCATTGCAGAGTATATAGGATGAAAGCTCCAGTTTGGGGTACGATGTCGGATAAACGAGGTAAATCAATCCCCCAACTATCCCCTGGTCCATCAATTCTGCAGGTAACTAACATTGCTTGATTACAACTTAGGTGGTCGAACAGCCTGGTCAAGCAACGTCACGATCGGTGCTGAAATATTTAGCGCCCGGTACTGGTACGACGGACAGTATGTAAACAACGCAAAGGAGGACGCCGCAGAGGTCGCATTACAGTGGATGCAGAAGCTTTTGAACTCCTCTCCATACGGGCACAACTAGGTCGTATTGCGCCGATTCCACACCCTCACGTGTTGTACTACTCCTGATCCTACTACGCTGGCTTGAATCTTTTCGCAAACCTATTATGTTGGCATGTTTTTTTATTTCGCGACCTACCTTTACCTTACCCTTACCTTTCAGGGTGTTGTTTTCATGATGTTAGCGCGGGATGTCTGAGTTTGGGCGGCGTGGTTAGATATGGGAGGGCAAAAATTCTTTGGGGGTTTCTGATTCTTGATTCTTGATTTTTTGGAGGGTATCGATTCGGTTTGTTCGTTTATTTTCATTTTCACATTGCACTCGCAAAAGATTCTTGGCGCTAGGAAAATTTTATTCGGGAGGATTTGTTTCTGTTTCTTTTCTTCGTTCTACTGTTGGCTATTATTGTTTCTTGTTTCTTTCTTATTTCTTTTTGCTTTTTTATTCTGTTTACTATTATATACATCTCTGTATCATTCGACTTCGTTATTGCGATTTCTAAAGCGTTGGGGGGTTTCTGCTAAGTTAGTTTTGTCTTTGTTTTCATGTTTCATGTTATTTGCTTTTTTTCTCTCCTCTTATTGCATGAAGATTTCTGTGCTATTATCTCAGATCACAGCTTGTTTGCTTGTCTGCGAGTACTCCATAGCTATATAGATGCGCCGATTTTAAATTTTATTTCCACAGATATCCGTTTCAAAATTGAAGTTTGGACGTTGAAATGGGTTGAAGCATGCGGTGCCGCGGTAATAAAGCGATCTATACATTAGGTATGTGCAGTCGCCTTATAATCAAAGTGCACGTACTCTAGAGTACATACATCCTTGGCCCGCCGGCAAACTGCAGGTGTGCATGCAAGCCACGATCCAGTTGCAGCTTCACCACAATTTTGGGTATTTTTGGTCTGAAACTGCGTTCCTCGATGTGTTGAAGGATGCAGTTAAATTATACTGCTCTCGTATGTTGCCGAGTGATACCCTATGATCCGGTCGGAACCGCCGGCGGTAAGAGACCAGCCTCTCGGGCCTGTGTTCAGTTTGGGGTAGATCAAATTGAACATGAGTAGATATGCACATACATATACCCATACGCATACACACGCAAAAGTTGGATGTGCGTAGAATTGTCTAGGTTTGTTAATCCTAACAGTGCACTGAGAATTCGTACTCCGGGAACTCCACCATTACACCCGGGCAGCAATCCTTTTTAACCTCTACATCCCAGCATTGCCCTGGTAATCAGTGGAGATCCCGCGATCGGATATCCGCGAAGTCGGGAATTGAGGCCGGCCCGTTGCTATGCTGTGCTAATCTCTGATAGGAAGGTTGTGAGCTGTTGTTGAATATCCCGACATCTCGGTAACCCGAATGTTTTCTGAAGAGGGAGTCATGTTGAGTAACACTTACTCAGACAATTTGTCTCTCTGCTGCTTCTATCCCGTCTCTCCGCGGTTCGAACTGACAGCGAAAAGCAAGTACAAAGCAGTGTAGATTGCTTGTATGCAGGTACCTCAGACCAGGATTGAGAGAGAGGAGTACATACACATGTGGAGTGCTTTAGACGCCGCTCTCATACATCCCCGATCTTATCGAATTCGGTTTCCCTTGCACAAACCCGCACCCCCTAGGCGCATATGTATGTACTCGGCATGTACAAGTGGGTCTGAATCGAATAGAGTGCTCTTCAAAACCCCCTTGTGTTTCGAGCAATGCATCACATTTGTATTCCTTTTTTGAGCGCCAGCCTGCCAGCGGAGACGAGGCAAAGAAACGTCGCTTCTGGTTGAAAAAGCAATTTTTCGGGGTAGTTTGAATGCGCGGTGTAAACAGCAAATATTTCAAAGCTTGGTCCTAACTCCAAAAGGAACAGAACAATTGCCACGACATTGGAGTCGTCTGTTCTGTTGAAAATCAAATATAGCCAGCACATTTGTGATATGATGTACTGATGCGAGTCCTCATCCTCCGTCCGAGAACACCTGAGACTTTTCGGTGAAGAAAAAATATCTGATGTTGTTTTAGATCAGCGGTCTACAGACAGGTTGGGGTTCTGAGTCTGCCGAACCAAATCGGGCGAACCGTCTTCAGCGAAAAAATTCCAAGCCTTTCGTCGTACGTAGCTCTCGGTTCAACTTCCGGAAACTCGTTACTAACTCAGCCTTATGTAGCCAGACTTAATGGGCAACCAATTATGTCCGGAAGGATCCGCAACTCCGTAGCCTATATTTGTATCTGGATTTGCGGGGTTGTACTGAAACCAAAGTTGCTGACTGGCAAGCCTGGTCCAAGCCGTAGCTAAATGGCAATACCGTACTATCGCTTCGTTCGACGTTTATTCATTTGGCAACACTTATTGGCAGTGTAGGGTACTGGGGCTAGGAGGTTAGCTAGGCCTAATATCTTTCTTATTGCTTGCTTGACCTCTTCCCCGAATTTACTGTGGTTTTTGGCCCCCACTCGAGAGGACGTACCAGCATACCAGTTGGTGAGGATCCATAATAATTGTTCTACCTTGAAGACTCTGATAGTTTAGTTTTGACGTTTGAGGGATTTTCCTAGGTCCATTATCTGAGAACCTATAAATAAGTATACTGCTATAGGGGACCTACCTCCAGACCGATGAATCATGGCTGTTGTCAACTCATACCACAGATACATGTAGTACTTGTTTACGTGGCCGAATACAAGTAGTGCCTTCAATTTCATACAAACTATATCCGTCTGACTGGTCCCCAGCATCAGTGTCCTAAGAAAGCCTATTGGGAAAGCTTAGCTGCCCGAGATCATCAATTCTGCACCCATATATACTGGCCTCGTGCTCATTCATCAATAAGTATCAACTAGGAATAGGATCGATCAGACTTTGCTTGGTATGTGCTGGTAATGCATGTAGCCCGAAGATCCAAGATGGTGAGGAAGATGGAGAATAAACCAAAAGGATATGGGGTTGATTAAATTAGAGGCAAATTACGATGAATGATGATCATGAGAGAAAGGGGGAACGGTGGAATGTTTTTCTCTGTCGTCTGATGTGTACGTGCATTAAAGGGTGTCATCACATGGTCGAACCATAAATTATTCCTATTTCGTAATTAACTCCATTGTCATGCAGCTCCGTTTTTGAAGGTTGCTAAGCCCAATATTGTACAAGTATGTATTCGATCTAATATTATATAGGGTAGACAATATAATATCAAGGACCCGTTGATACATATACATAATTATAAGAAAATACGAGATTTAGAAGTACTCCAGCGTTAATTGTAAACCCCTCGTGGGCCTAGTTATTATAATGGGATGGTCTCGAAGAAGATATTTATTACTCTAGCAGCTAGCAGTCTTTATATAAATTTGGCAAGGATCAGAGGTCGAAACAAAAACGGTATGGTGTAATCATGTTTCTTTTAAATTTTAGAGGCGCTAGATACATATACCCTATTAGCTCCAATGTCTCATTATGAAATCGGCATTAAACTCATGTAACTAAACTACATGTACTGCAGTACACAAATAAACCATCAACATAAGCCAAGTAGCCCTAAGCACCCGCACTTAACGGGCAGATCAGCCCTGCACTCACTAGGGCCGCGCCCGTACCCACTACTGTTGCCAATATTCTCCCACACTCCCGCAAGCTTCCATCTCCACGCCAAACTCGTGAACCCTTATCACCAACCTGGCAGAATGCACTTCCATCCAGAGTCTCTGCACAGTACTCCCTCGTCACTACCCTCGGCGTCGCATTACCTTTTAGAGACGTGTATACCCGTCTGGCGCACACTCGACCAATGCTACTATTTGTGTGCACTATCTCGCCTGGATTTAGAGTGGTGTCATAGATGGCAAAGGAGATTGTGAGATGGTCGGCGCGCATGGTTGTAGATTCCAAGTGCTGAAGGCTTGGTAAGCGCAATTGGGATGTATGGTTATAGGGCCAAGCTTCGTCCTGGTAGTAGTCTGCAGTGAAAATGCTCTCTCTGGAGTTTTCTGACACCTTCACTATTTTAGTCTCCATGAACGGTTCGGTATCTGTATCGGACTCTTCATCATGCTGGTGTAGCTTTGTCAGCGTTTTTGCAGCATCTAGGATCTTCTGATCTTTTTCGTTGTGCTGCTTGTTTTCATTTGTTCCCTTACCCCCAGTCCTACTAGTTTCGACCGTTATCTCCCCCGTTACCTCCGCACCCTCCACGAGGAAAGGCCACCCTCTGAAGTCTATCCTCCCCGCCAGTTTAAAATCTGGCAATACAACGCCTACTCCGGCAATTTTGAATCTGCCGCATGAGAAGACCACAGGCATGACGGCCCACCCACCGATGGTATCTACAACACCTGCTTGCTGCGCAGCATGATGGATCTGGAGAGCTATATGGGCTAGAGTCTTGTCTGAGGGCTGCGGTTGCGTGAAGCCTTGAGGAAAGTGTTGGGACAGGGAAAGACGGGAGCCAGTCGAGTGGTTGAAGTATTTCTCGAGGCCTTTGCGCACGAGAAATCCTATATCGGTATGTGATTCAGTCCCAAATCTTGAATAACACTATTATTCCAGGGATATTTAAGAGCGTACCATTCTTGAAATTGGTCTTTGGCACCAAGAACCTATCATCCAGCATGCGTTCTCGTACACCTAATATATCTACTTAGCAATTGGATCACCTTCTTACCATGATATGAGTTCCTTACCGCTACCACTACCAGGGTTGGCATTCCTTACACGCTCTAGCAAGTTGTACGACTGCGACATCACGATCACACTCTCTCTCGCAAGTGCTTCGCCGGCTGGATCGTCCGGGGTCCGTGGTAGTGGCCTCTTCCCCCCAGCTTTCGGATCACCATTAGGGTTCCCTTTTTCTGTACCGGAGCTATCACTGCCAGCCGGTTTTGCTGCAGTCACTTTTGGAGACCCAACCATATAGATAAATCTCCCTGACCTATTCTCAGAATCGGCAGGCAATATTCTCTTGAGCTTTTTTATCAGAGAAGGGTTATTGGGGTTATGGTCAATGAGGTCCCAAACTACAGCTTCTGCCATTCCGCGTTTCTGCGAAGGCGATGCTAGTTTTGCCTTCTTTCTACCAGTCGGTAACGGAGTTGGTTCAACGAGCTCCTCGGCCCCTTGAGCGGGGGAGGAGAGGTTTTTGCGCTTCCGGACCGGAGACGCAGCGTCAGAATTGAGGCGAGGATTAGTGTGCGGTACTCTCACGGTAAATGTAGGTACGGCCCTGGCATTAGGAATTTCCTGGCGCAGTCTTTCCTTTTGTGTGATCATTGGCACCTGATCTTCTGCCGTGTCTGGAATAGCCTCCCCATCCTTTGATTTTGGAGCTTTAACTTTCTTCATATCTGCCATCTTTCTAACATAATCCCCTAGGATTCTTGAGGACTCCGCCTCCACCGTCGCGATATCTAGAACCATTTTTCTTGGTATAGCCGGGGTCCTTGTGATGCTATCACTCTTAGCTAAACTAGCTCCTCCATCTTCCTTGACGATTCTCTCTTTTAAATCGCTGCTTTGAGCGGCTGGGGTGACAAAAATAGCGTCATTTACCAGGGCATTTTGACCCTCGCCTGGAATAGTCGCCTCTACACCAAAAAAGCCGCTTTTGTTGGTCCTAAACGCATCATAATATTCCTTTTTAGTATCCCTTTTCGGCGCCCGCTTTCGGCGCTTCTTAGAAGAGGATGCTGTAACCCCAATTTCGGCCATAACTGGGCGATTGGCCTTTTTATCCTTAGGCTTTGGTGGATCTGGCTGCGCCGTCAGCTCGGGCTCAGGAACACTTATCATGGTCCTATGTTCCTCCCTTTTCTTCTTCTTTGGCTCCTGTGTTTTCTGTGAAGGCACGGCTAGATACATCAGTCAGCTCAAACGGCAAATAAGGGCTGAATTATTAGTTAAAACATACCATCGATATCGACAATAGCCGTACTCTTCTTGGTTATCCTGGGGACGGCACGTTTGCGTTTGGTGATTGAGTCCTTAGTCGACATATCTGTTATGCTACTACCCGATATTTCGTATTTTGATAGAAGATGAATGAGCAACTGGATAGAGGGGAGAGGTTACATTGTATACCCAGCTCTAGGAACAAAGGAATTTCAGAACAAAGGACGAAACAGAGATCGTTCTACAAAGAGAGGGTTAACTGCTTTGTAAGAATCTCATAGTATCGGCTATGAATATTGGACAAATAGCGGCAATAGAATTAAAGTGGAAAATCGGGTAGAGCTTGTGTTTTAATCATGGGAAATCACTCAGTATCATAGGGTTAGGGTTCCGCAACCAAACCAAAAAAAGCTCAATGGGGTTTTCGAGAGGATTAAATGTCCACCATCTAGAAATATAACAGATGGCCGGTCCGTGCGAAAAGTCCAAATTTCCTGCGATCTGGTCATATCAGCACATGTCAAAACTGCACGGCCCGCCCCCGCTCCTATCCTCTCATTTAAATGATAATGCTGTTCATTTACATATTAGCCAACCACCACCACCACCACTCTCCGCGAGGAGGGGAAGACGAAACGAATACTACCAAAAAAAGCTCAAGATTGGAATCGATGAAGGTAACGATTATTGCTTATTTGATAAAATCAGATATGATATGAATACTTGATACTAAAAGCAAAACAGATAAGAATATCAGACAACAATCAAACCAAAATCAAAAAAGGAAAGAGAAGAGATTGGGGCCGATCCTCCCCCCCCCGAGCATAATATGCACCCTGGGCCCAGCAGATAATCCCCGCAGGATACCACTCAGCCTTGTGCACGCTCATTGAATGACGACATGTGCCTCTGCTTCGTCCTCAAAACCCAAGCCCAGATAAGTAAGCCAAAAATAAAATAACCAAAAATATGCAATTTCACGATACTAACGTCAATCAATCCCATCCCAGCCGGTACAAGCCCTTAATACATGAGATCCTCGGGATCCTCATGATCTTCGATGTCACCTCCATCCCACCTCCGCCCCCTCGCTCTACCTCCTTGTGGCGCATCCATCCATCTTGTCCTTCCTTCTCCATCATCAACCCTAAAAAACACTTCTTCCTCCCCAATTTCCCCCAAGACCCCCAGCAGTTCTCCAACATCCCATACCCCTCACCCACCGCTCCCCACTCCACCCCATCGCCCTCTAATATCATCTCAATCAGCGCCTGTGTCTGCGCCCTCCCAATCGTTCCCGCACTACCACCACCGCGACACCTCCGGCTTCGCCGATGCGATGCCAACTCCCGCTCAGAGAATATATACGCGTCATGCGAGTAGTGGCAATCATTACCGAACGGGCAGAAGGGCCGGGGGCGCGTCTTAAGAGAGTCGTGGAAATAGCGGCAGGGAATTGTGGTCAGCTTGTCCAGATACCGCTGCACAATGGTTTCTTTGGAAGTTGCGGTGGGAAGAATGGAGGATGGTACGATAAACTTGCTGCGGACACGGCAGAGGGGACAGGTTTTGGAGGTCTTATGGAGGTCATCGGGGGCACCGGGTGGGAAGGGACTGGGGGCATTATTGTTGCTGCTGCCGGATGAGCGCCAGGAGCGGATGCACGCTATGATTATCAGTACGTTTACTACACTATTGAGGGGCATTTGGGATATTCTTTTATGATGGAGTTCGGGGGGCGTTGGGGGGTTTTATACTGAGTCTATCGTGAGTATTATTTTTCTCATGGTTTCAGCAGAAAACCCCCCAAGCCCTGTAGAATCCTGCCAGTCGACAAAAAAAAAAAAAATTTTTTTTTTTGGCCAGATGATTATATGGAGAACAGGACTAAGACACCTACAGAGACAGAACACATGATCACAATTCGTCAACAGCCCATATGTCGATGGGACCTCAAAGCAAATGGCGCAGCATTCCTCGGTATCCGTCTTATCGTCTTTGTCACGCCACTCAATAATCAGGACCGATACGTCAAATAAAATAACCAGAACAATAATCAACGCCCGCAGACTCACCAGCGGCAGAAGCTAAACATTTCCCTTTCTCGTCCACGACAGCAGTAGTATTTATAACAACATCCTTCACACCCGGCACCGCGGCGACATCGTGTGCGTACCAGCACGTGGAGCCGCGGGAGCAGTACCCCTTCAAGAAGAATCGGCATGGTACGGAGCTGGGCGGGAGGTTTACTCTCTCACCTATTTCGGGGGTGGCGCCCTTGAAGGTTGAGGCCGATGTCGATGAGGATGGAGTGAAGGGGGCGGCGGTGGGCGAGTATGGTCCTGGTTCGTCTGGCATGGCGGAAGGCGAACTGGAGGTATGTATGGTATGTATAGGATGTGGGGAAATAACCGTTCTGAATAACTGATTGGGAGAAACACGCACAGGCAAGGCAAGGGGGATTCACGGGGTAGAGAAAGCAAAATCTCAAAGGGCACAGGAGACTATCAAACAGGGTCAAGCACAGGTACTACGTGAAGGATGGATTCTTGAGGTACATGTAGTTGCAAGAACGGGGGGGAAGGTATAGTGAGAGGATAAGGCGAAGGCGAAGAGGGAGAGTGTTAGGGTGAGAAGAAAGAGATAAATGGAGTCGTGTGAGATCTAGAGATCAAGAAGCAGGAAGTGGGTAGGTATCCTATCTATCTAGCTATCAGTTGTTCGGCCGAGGGTGGAGGGTAAGTAAGAAAGACATGAAGGTTAGGTACAAGGTAAAGACGCAGTAACTGGGCCAGTGCTTCTAATCAATGCGGGGGTCAACCGGACCAGGGTTGGCGAATAAGCCCGCGCTAAAGGTCACTTCGGTAAATAACACGTCCGCAGCATGTAACCACGCATAACAGGCCCTGAGAACTGTAGGTAAATTTGTTTGACTGACTGCAGTGATGCTCATCTCTTTGCTCTACTATTTCCTTGGATTTCTTAGTTATTGCCATTGTTATGATTATTACGGCCATCCTTTGTACTTTGCAGCTTCTCCCGTGTTTGTAACTGCCAATATCATGCAGGAAAGGAAGCTGTCGGTCGGCAAGCTAGGTGTCGAGGGGTCTTTCTTCTCCCCCAAGCTCTTTCGTCATCGATCTCCTCTGGGTATGATTCTAACCGCTTACAATCATGATTGTCCCAGCTTGGCCGGTCCGGTGCCTGAACCTGAATATCACAACCAACAAGTTATTACAACTTGGATGCGCAATACCGCCGTTGTGGCTGGGGAGCACGCAATTGATCACAACTGGGCACATATTATCGTCACGGATGTGCTAGGTTGCGCGATAAGGCTGCTGGCTGTTGTGTTCTTGTGGTCACGATGGGGCGCGGGAACGTAACAGGGCCGCCGATGACATCTATCTACCTGACTGTTCTACTCAGCTCAACATGATGTTAAAAACCGTCCCAATCGTGGTACGCGCACTTGAGATGAATATTAGATGGCATTTCCAATCATGTCGTGTGTTTCCAGGCCTCAGGCCTGACTGGCCCTGGCATGGGATTGCCTTGTACCATCATGATCACCAGAATGATATTAATACATACATGCACTCGGGGATCAGGCAGGCGGGCACATGCCGTACCCGCAAATTGAGTGGAATGGTCTCATAAGTATCGGAGAGGACAAGTGTCCAGTATCACCTCACTGTTCAGCCTCAGGCCAGGCAAAGCAAGCAGATGTTTCCTGATATGGACACACAAGCAACATTGGAAATGAGACTCTACCTGGTTACTTATCTGTCTATCACATATCTTCAAGGAGTCGCGCGAGTGATGGCCCATGATTTCCTTTTGTCAATTATCACTTCTCAAAGCTCATTTCGTGTGGCATTCAGAGTAAAACCACATTTTTACAGACGTGCAACAGTACATGTATGCCTAGTCGAGTCACTCAAGCCCAAAATATATCAGACTGCACCTTGACCAATTCCTCAAACACTTCATGTATTTTGCGAAAGAATCAATTTTCAATTTTGCTTCTTTCCCAACATGGGCCCAACAACGCCGTGCCCAACACCCAAATGCGTACATACAATCAACCGACTTCGTACCACTAATATTCCCTCCCACCCAAACCCTAAAGCCAGAACAAGAAAAACAATAAAAGAAAAATAAATCTCCCTTCTTACAATCCATCCTCCTCCTAAATATGCAGCTAGTTGATGAGAAAATGAGATCACGTGAGAGAAAAGGTCAAACAGACATCAAAACACGAATAGCTCACCATAAACTGCCCAAGTAGGAACTGTTCAGCTAGATATGGGATCAAGCGTACCAGTGTCCAAGAAGGAAAATCGCAAGAGAAAAGGTAAAATAAGTTTGCACAAGAAAGAAAGATACAAGAAAATGAACCCCCAGAAATTGATAATAGGAAAAGTGAAAAACAGCAACCAAGGAATCAGGAAACTTTTGTTCACCCACACCACCGCGTTCAACAATCAATCCCCGAAACCCACAAAGACATGCCCCAAGGGAATAAAAGGAAAACAAAAAAACCAAGACAACCCATTTCTATTTCCGTTTCCAAGAGACGCCTTACTTTCAACATTGTTTACTCCTTAGCCGCATCACTCTCGGCCTTCTCGTTATCATTAGTGCTGGCGTTAGCTTCAGCGGGAGCGTCCTCCTGGCGGGCCTTGACGTATTCATCATAAACGCTAAGAGCCTCGTCAACCTTGGCACGAAGAGCAGGTTCATCATCAAGACTACGAGAAAGGTTAGCTATAAATACGTTGGAAATCAGAATTAAGGGTAACAAACAGCGCAAGCAACTCCATGTTATCCATTTCCAGCAACATTCCAGTGATCTTTCCGGCGAGATCGGGGTGCTGTTTCTGAATCTTGGGGTACAGCGCCTCTCCGAGGAGCTGCTTCTGATCTTGGTGGCTGCGGGAAGCGAACATGTTGACGTCAATCGAAGATACCTGGGGAAGAGCTGCCTGTGAAGCGGGGACCGGTTGGCGAACAGCCTGCTGAGGAGGAGCATTGGCGCGAGGAGCACCACGACCAGCAGAAGCAGGTCCACGGGGACCCATACCCATAGGCATTCCCTGTG